TGATGGCTCCGGGAATAATGGCAGCCCCGGGATTGCTGGTGGCTCTAGGAATGCCGTCAGCCCCGGGAATAACGGGAGCCCCGGGAATAATGGGAGCCCTGGGAATGCTGGCAGCCTGCGGGAATGCCGGTGTCCCCAGGAATGCCAGCAGCCTCGGGAATGCTGGCGGCTCCGGGAATAACAGGAGCCCTGCGATTGTCAGCAGGTCCAGGAATAACAGGAGCCCTGGGAATGCTGGAAGCCTCCGGGAATGTTGGTGTCCCCGGGAACGCCGGTGGCTCCGGGAATGCTGAGAGCCCCGGGAATGCCGGTGGCTCGGGGAATGCCGGGAGCCCCGGGAATGCCGGGGCGGGGGAGGGGGGCGCTACTCACTCCTCCAGGTCCCGGTGTTGGCGGGCGCGCAGGCGGGTCAGCGCCCACCGCAGCGGCGCCGGCAGCGCCCACGAGGCTCCGGAGCGGGCGGGCGGCGGCGGCCGGGGCCGCCCGGGGCAGCGGCGGAGCTGGGGGGACACGGGGGGACGTGGGGACCCTCCGCGGCCCCCCCCATCCCGCTCCCCCCCCCCGGAGCGCCCCGTTAACACCGCAATGGGGGGGGGAACGGGGGTCACCTACCGCCGCCAGCGCCGCCATGTTGCACCTCCCACGTGACCGCCCCTGCTCCGAGAGACACGCCCCCACGCTTGGCCACGCCCCCAAGGTTGGCCACGCCCCCGCGCGCTCTGCCGCCTCCTGGCGGGCGCGAGCGGAGCCCCCGTGGGGGAGCTGCGCATGCGCGGCCGGCAGAGGCTGCGCCTCCCTCCCCCGCAGTGACGCCGTGGGGGGGAGCTGCGCATGCGCGGCCGGCAGAGGCTCCGCCTCCGCCCTTCAGTGACTCCGTGGGGAAGCTGCGCATGCGCAGCCAGCATGCGCTGCCCGTCCACGAGCCACGGGGGGGGGCCGCCCCTCCGGTGGCCACGCCCACCCCCTCCTCCCCCATTGGCTCCCCGCTCTTCGCCACGTGACTGCGCTGTCCTAATGCGGCTGCGCCCTCGCTTCTTACCCGCTCCTGGAGAGGTTTCACTTCCGCTTCCGGGGCCCTTGCAGGCCGCGGCGCCGCCGGTAGGTGGTTAATGGCGGCGCTCGGTGCCCCCGGGCCCTTCCCCCCGCCCCGGCTCCTTCCCCGGGGCCTCTCGCGCTCCCCGCTCCCCCCTTCCGCCCGCGGGGGGAGGGGGGGTCCGGGACCCCCCAGTTCTCGGATGGGGGGGGCCAGGGGGTCTCAGTCCCCCCCCCTTCTCCCCTCCCCC